TCCTCCTCTGCTGATTGACAGCAGGCAGTGGGTGAGTGCAATAGCCAGCCTGCTATTGGCTATTTCAAATTGCAATAGCCGTACGGCTATTGCACACACCTACAGCCTCCGAGCCTCTCGCCGACCCATCCCCCTCTGGCATTTTTCGGCCTGGCGCCTGACAGCTGGTGTGTATCTACTCCAATGCCCGTTGCCTCTGCCAATACAGGCAGGGAGAGCAGCAGGATCGGAGGGGACACAGACTGCAGCGGGGAGGAGAGGCAGTGTCGAGTCGGTGGTGACAGCGACTGTGTCATCAGTTAGCTAAGGGCAGTGGGCTTTATTTTTCCAATGAAATTGCAATGATGTGTAGCCAATGGGAGGATCTGTGAATGCATTCATTCACAGATTCTCCGTGGCTGTTTTTCTTACACTGTGATCAGCAAAGGTCACACAATTCCACCAATCACATTTTGATCCCAGGCTGAGAGCCGCTAGTAACGACTCTCAGCCTGATCCTGAGCGGCGCTGCTCGGGAGAGTGTGACTGACAGTCATTGCAGCACTTTAAGGAGGGGACAGGTACAGCTGGCTTTGAGCCGGAGCCAGCTGTCACTTAAGCAGCAGGGGGCTGATCCTGACAGTAAAGTCGGGATCCTTCTCCAGCCTGGCCGGCCCCGGCGAGGCTTTGCCGTCTCAGCTAATAACGGGCCGTACATTTACTAATGTACTCCTCCCACTTTCTTTTAAATAAACTTTTACTTGGCGCCTGCTGCATATTTTTTACTATGAATGTATGCATAAAACAAGTTTTTTATTCATATGGTGTCAAAACAACAAAACCAGTATTGCTCAAGGTAAAGGATTGGTTTAGGAAAGATATGGCAGGTTTTTTTTTTCTTCCAAACCTTGGTGTGCCTGCTAAAGTCTTATAATTTGAGGAAATTGAACCTGGTGAATCCTGTTTTTTGCCACAGAGGGAGTTTCAGGGTCTGGGAGCACAGATTGGATTGCATTGTTAATATAATTGATATATGAATTTACAGTGGTACATGGTTTTAACACGGAGGGATTTGAGCATTGTGATTACCAGCAGAGTGGGTGGATTAGTGGCACTTTACATGAACTTGTGCTTTATTGTAATTTATATTATATGCACTTTGATATGTATGAACACTTTAATTGACATTTTTTTTAAAAAACGCTTCATTTTGTTTTATTTGGATATCATGAATGAGGTAAAATGTTTAAGCTTGCCGATGTTATTTATGAATTTGTAGTTTAATAAGTGCAGTGCAATAATTTGATCCTTTAAGTGGTGTACATATCCCTTAATGCACAGCTGCTGAGATGTTTGAATTCAGATAATGTAGATAGGGGTGCAGATATTTTTGTATGTAAATGACTTTATGGCTTGAGTCCTGTGCATTAGGGTATACATTTATTTTGCCATTTAAGCTCTGTTATTCTCGAACATATCCAATAGCTATGCATACACTGAATGGCCAGATTATTATGACCACCTGACGTTTGTAGGCAAATTAGCTATAATTTCGAGCTGAAGTTGCTAGATGGCCAGACTATAAAGGTGGCCATACACTGTACAACCATCGCAAGACCTTAGTGTTGCGATGGTTGTAAAGGGATTAAAAAAAACGTACGATCTGCCCATCTTGGACGGGCAGATCGCACTCTCGATCATCGCAAGCCACGCCCCCTGAGGAGGCGGGCTTGCGATGACTGTAATGAGGGGCGGGCTTACGCTGACTGCGAACGGGCAGGGTGCGCGTCAGCACACCGGCCCGTTCGGCAGTTGTCGAACCAGCAGGCCACCAACTCGCCGAGAATCGTATGATTCCCGGCGGGTTTTCAAACATGCTGGTTCGATGGAAGACGTGCGACCGTACAGTAGAAACGGTTGCACGCCTTCCATACACTGCACGATTCTCGTACGATCGCGGGATTTCCCACGATTCTCGTACGAGAATCGTGCAGTGTATGGGCACCTTTATAAATAGGGAAGCAGGTTGTTTACCACGACAGTAGAAGTGACTTTTTTCTGAAGATATGGGTAAACAATGCGATTTAACAGCCTTTGAACGTGGGATGATTGTTGGTGCTCGGAGCCATGGAGCAAGTATCGGCAAAACAGCAGAATTCGTTAAATGTTCAATAGCATCTGTTGTTAAAGTGTTTAAAGACTGGACTGTCAGCCGAAAAGCTGGGTCTGAACGTGCAAATTGTGGCCGTCAGCAACTAGTCAATGTTAGGGCAGAACGGGGAGTGGCAAGACTGGTACAAGACAACAGAAGGGCAACAGTGCATCAAATTACTGCAGATCTTAATCAGGGATCCTCTCAAATGATGTCTGAACGCACTGTTCGCCGTACACTGCATTGTATGGGATATGGAAGCCAAAGGCCTGTTCAAACACTTTTGCTGTCTGCAGTTAACAAGATAAAACATCTCCAATTCACACAGGAACACAAGGATTGGATAGTCGAGCATTGGGAAAAAAAAGTCATGTGGACCCCCCCCCACTACAAAGATAAATCGTTTTGATACGCAGAGGGATTATCACTTCGCAAACCAACTTTAGGCACCTATGAGATAAAGATACTTGAACTCTCCAGCCAATGTGCAGATTGTCAACTACTTGGGTTACTGCATATACATTGTACCCTACCTACATGTCTCGCACCTGCTGTATGACATGTTTATAAATGAGGAAAGAAACTTCTGATAAATGCTGGTGCATTTAAGCAAATCTGAAGGATGACACCGTTTATTTTAAGACCTTTGCTTACACTCATGTCATGATATACTGCTATATGGAATTGCCAGAGCATCATGCAAACCATTATGTGCACCTAAATGCCAGCTCTTAACATATTTATAGAATGTCCAGAGAGATTGCAACTACACTTTTATGAAAGCTGGTACCTAGTCAGGACCCTAGTTGAGACAATAGTCAGGACCCTATATGTTCATTCTTCCTGTCAAGGGGACATACACTCATCTTGCAGTTCATACATAAGCAACCATGTTTTATTGCACTTTGGCTACTTAACACTATTTAATTGGTTATGCCCACATATACATTATTGCACCTCAACCAGGTGCACCAACAGTTGTGTTAGACACTAAATAGGTTGATAGAATGTTACCCACTTGAGAATGGTGGGCATACCTCAATCCAGGTCCACAGGGGTCAGGCTATTGATGATTTTAGACGTTTAATATGTCATAAAGCAGTATTTTGTGCTCCATTTGGGTTTCTTATATACATGTGTTAAGAGAACTATGAGGTGAGTGCTTTTCACTCACCTCATAGTTCTAGCCGACCTGTGACAATGAGACTGTCACAGGTCGGCTCAGTAGATCGGGAGGTGAGCGAACACATACCGGGTTCGCTCACCTCTCGATCCTGTCACAGCTCTCTGCCGTGACAGGGGAGGGGCTGGATTCCCCTCTCGCCGATCTGCCAGCGCGGAACGGACAGGGGAGGGGTACAGCTGGCTCTGCCTCTAGATAGGCAGAGCCAGCTGTCACTCACGCAGCTGGGCGGATCCTGTCATCTAAGTTGGGATTCGGTCTGGCGTCTCAGTATACCGCGAGCCGTAGCTCGCGGTATACTGAGCCTAGGGTGACGGGAGGACGCTAGTTTGTGTCCTCTCGTTACCCTAAGGAGAACTATGGGGAAAAACACTGACCCCATAGTTCTCCTTTAAGCCATTTTTATTTTATTTTTTTAATCGCTTACAATGGAATGGGTGCTGCTCCTTGATGTTTACTTTTTTTAGACCTTTGTGTAAGCTAGCTGTCTCCACACAAACAGGCACATCACAGGGCAGGGCAGGCCAGGCCTCTCCCCCTGCTCCTCTCTCCATCCTTCACCAAGCCAGTAGCTGGACTGCTGCTGCAGACTGCCGTCTTCTACTGGACAGGACATTCAGGGAAACAGAGGGAAAATGTTAAATACTACTTTCTGGGTTGAGACAGATTTATGGTGGCGTTTTTTTTTTATGGTTAATCATCCTTGTATGCTCCAATTTACATGCAGACATTGGTCACTTGCCAATAGCACAGCAGGGAGCAGCTTAAATGTCATAAACAAGAAGCCTATAATCAAAGTCTATGACCTATTCCCACTGGTTTTAAAGATCTAGTCAAACAAAATAATCAGTCCTTAAGGGCTTGTCCACACCAGATCTGCATGAGTTTCTGCACATGCAGTGGGTTGTGCCACGTTTTTGATTCGTTCAGGGCAGTTTTTGGTAGTTTTTTTAATTTGAAAATGGCCTTTCAATGCGTTCCAGGGTGTTTGATGCGTTTACATCATTATACAGAGCAGGTAAAATAGGGCTTGCTGCAGTGTTTTTTACATGAACTGAACGCTGTGGTGTGAACTAGAGCCCCAAATACCATTGGATGTAGTTTTGATCCGGTCTGTAACTGCTCTGATCTGCTTCTGGAACACACTTTGGCAGTTTTTTGCAGCCTGAAGTTAAAACTCCAATTTTGGTATATTTATAGCGTATGCTTTTATGGCTAACATGTACATGCAGAAAAAACCATTCAGAAAAAAATGTGACAAAAAAAAGGTAGAGGCATACAGAACAGATGCTGCAACTTTTTTACCATTACAAGAGTTACAGTTTATCCCAACTGCTGCCACTTCTGCTGATCTATATGTAAATGCAGATAAAGAAAAAAAATTAAGCCCCAAATTCCAAAAAGGTATGTTTGAACAAGGTACAGAAAAAACAAGTTTCGATGGAACTGTTTTATTAAGACAAAACTATTGCAAGTCAAGATGCGGAGTAAGATTTATATTTTAAGTGCATTAACAGTCTGAACACTGGTATAACATGACTAGAAAACCCCACACCAAAACTCTCCAGTACAATACAACAGTAACCAGCACAGTATGAAAAGTGGATAAGTGAAAGGCTACAAGTCCACATTACCCAAGCAAACAGTGCAGAATGTGTCTACATAACAGCTGCTAGACATATAGGAGGGGGAACACTGATGGGATTAACTCTGCAATGCTGGGGCTGCGTTCACAGATGTTAATGCTCAGTTTTCTTCTTTCAATTCTGATTTTTTTCGGATTTCTTCTCCTTTCTTCTCCTGGAAAAGAGAAAAAAAAATGTTTGTTAACCTGACCGAACAGCAGAACAAATAGACCCAATGTCCAACATCAAACCTACCATCTCTCGCAATCGCTCGAGTTTTGCAGCCATCTGGGCCTCTCTTTTTTCCTTGTTGGTTTCCATTTTTGAAGTTAACTTTTCTTCTGCCATTTTGCTGAAATTATTATTCTCCTCTTTAGCTTTTTGCAGAACTTCCTTCTCATGCTCTCTCTTTTCAGCAAGTTGCTTCAAGATTTCAGCTTCATGCAACTGGAGGAAACAAAATTGTTCTTAATGAAGAAAAAATTTACCAGCAATAGAATGCCAGGATCTGACATTTTCTGCTATGAATACAGCTTGGTTAAAGACCACTATAGTTTATTGGAAAAAAAAAAAAACAGTCAATGCACACTGATGCAGCTTCCTGTAGAATGTAGTAAAGGCTGGCTTACAGTGGTGCCCTTCGTCTCCTAGTTGGAGTTATGCTGTACAGAGGAACTATAAGAGGTCAACAGACTGGGCTGTTTACCTGACCGTTGTGTGACTTTTGGTGCAAGCTCCATGTCATGCTTCATAAGCACTGTATATTTGTGCAGGAAAAGACACCAAAAATTTGCCTAACCAGTCAATCAGGGGCTCTGCCTGTAAATGTCACCATCTTACAAGTTCTCTTTACACACTAGAGGGAGATACTGTTGTGCCTGCCACCTAAAGAAAATGGTAAAAATGACTTTTTTATAAGAGCAGAGGGGGGGGAAAAAAAACAAAACAGTACTTTAAAAATTAGCTCACATGTTAAATATTTAGGTTATGACCAAACATTTAAATACCATGTACAGCAAGTGAACTTTTACAGAGCATGCAGGGCTTCAGTAGGGAGTTGACCAATTCTCTTCACTGAAATGTAAAGTCCTCGTCATCTAATCTAGCTGACATTTGTGAACAGTTCTGACATTCTCTCCAAAAGAGAAAAGCAACAGTCGCTGGTCTTGATTTGAGAAAGCTTCTGACACTGCAGAAGTTTCAGACTCAATCCACACAGAAACAGCTTCACAACTTCTGGCCCCGAAATTAAAAGGGATGCAGTCTCAGATTCCTTTAACACAACGCAAGACTTCATACTGCCACTACAACTCACCTTGCGCCTCTCCTCTGCTGCTTCTAGCTTCTTTTGAATTTCTTCCAGTGAGCATTCCTTTTTCTTTGGAGAGGCGATTAAAAGGTCTGGAGCAGCATCAGTAGATGGAGGGCTCAGGATAAGCTCAAACGCCTGGCCAGATGCACGTTTTTCCAGCTCTTTAACTTTAATGTCTTAAAGAGAAAAAAAAAGTCAGCACTTATCAGGAAAACCACCTGTAAAGGAACCAGTAGCTTGTACCGTCATGAACTTGATATGCCAACAGAGGCCTATATAATTTAGTCAAGTGCAAGCCACAGGTGACTTTGTAGAAGGAATCTTTGCACTCCAACACCTTGGCTTAAATGTTCTCTGCAAGTTTACAGACAGGAGACTTATGTGGGAAGGAGACAAGAGCCCTCCCAAAAAACCCACAATGCTGCATGTATTAGTTCCATCCTATGATCAAGGGGACTGCCAGAGTGATCATAGCCCTTCTAAAGGCCTTAAACCAGTATATAAATCCTGTACAATAGGCTAGAGCTTGATGGATTAAAGGTCAAAGCTAAAACAGATTGCAAAACATGACCCATCAGAGAACAAAGGAGCTGGAGCGTGTTACCCCCACCACAAGCTGAACGCTGGGATAAGCAAGTACTATCTATATAGAAGAGGCATGTGTATCATTCGTAGAATATTGGTATGCGTTGTGTATTTCTTCCAGATGTGTGCAGTATTCTAGTGTAAAATGTAACCTCTGGGCAAGAGCCTTCTGTAATAAAGACTAGTCAATACTGCTCTCCTTGCACAGGGTGACTGGTTTCATCTCTACCCCCCTCCTGTAGTTTTTTTTTGCAGGCAGCTTGTAGTGGGTGGGCCAGCTGGGACCCTCCTGCAAATCTGATTGCACAGATTGTGTAGCCCAGTGATCATGCAACTGCTACTTTTACAAGATAACTGGGTTAGCAAAAGGCATTTGGTTCACACAGTCCCCTTATATCCATTGTGGCTATTGAGGAATATACTTAAATCAAAGTTTTTGCACCAGGAGTTCAACTTTAGTGGCTGCTAGAAGCTTGCAGGCACACTGAGGGAAATCAAAATTGGGACAATCTGGAGCAGTTGCCCATGGCAACCAATCAGTATTCACCTTTCATTTTCAAACCTCAACTGAACAAACTGGAGAGAAGCTGAAAGGTTGCTATAGGCAACGGCTCCAGATTCTTCTGCTCCAGTTTTGATCAATTCCCCCATTATTCTTTAGCTAGTATTTATAAGCTTGAAGGAAACCAGTGCTGAGAGAAACATAGGATACCATTTCTTCAACCTTCTTGTGTAAAATCCTAACTGCCTGGGCTGATCTGAAAGTTTAAATCAGACAAAAAGCACCTCGGCTCTCACACTTACTGATTGTATGAAGTCAGTTAGTCTTAGTAAATTTATTGATGGGACATTTATAATTTTCATATTTTACAATGTCATTAAAATAGGATAAAAGTGATAGTCACACAACCATTATATTATATGGGACATGAACACTGTTTAGATAAACAATTAGGGCTAAATAAGAGTAACAGTTTACCTACTAGATAGCATTGAGCATGATTAACAAAGCATTGAGCATGATTAACAAACTAATGAACCAAAGTTGTGCTGGTGCTTCTTCAAAACCTCCTTCTCATAGCCAGCAGCAGGGCTATGTAAGCACTGGACAGGCTGAATTCCCTGGATATTGCTAAACTAATAAACTCAAGTGTGCCACATCTTAAAACCTGATTGTACAATTTCCCTTAGATTTACCAGCAACTATGTACGGTGATAGCCTATCAATTGATTAAGAATTTATGTTTGGTACATCGCTGTAAAATCCAAAGACGACTTAAGCATGAATAGCTGTTCTTGTGTGTATTAAGCCTCAAAATGTGTATACACTAGGTCATTGCACATGTGTTTTATTTGCTTTTTAGGCTATGAAGCCAGTACACAGCTTTAAGAGACTAAAGCCAATATCTGTTTTAGTTCCAGGAGTCTAGCTTTTGTCAATATTCACAGTGGACTTTCAAGACTTAAAATCACATACCGCTTACATGAATTTGTTCCATCATCCACACTGGTTTCATATCTCAGATTCAAGGACTTGATGCTGCCTCCTTTCACATAAGAAATATATTCTACATGTGTGCAATACTGCCTTTTTAAAGCAATTCATAGCTCACCTCTGCTATTTTATTGCCCTTTAAGGTGGTCCCTTGACCACGTGCTTTCCTTTTCCAAGTAGGGTATGTTACCAGCAACTTCCTACATACTGGCTTACCTTTCTTTAATATTGATCAGTTAAAACCTTCAACTTAACTTAGGGATACCCTTCTAAACAATCATTTACATCTATTCTGAAATATTTCCCACGCATATGAATCATCCCCCAAGGACCCATCCCAAAAAATAAATAAGTGTCCTACCAGCCTCAGCCATGATTGTAAGCTTAAGCAAGAAGTCACCCAGAATCTGTAAGAAAAAAAGTTAACAGTAAAGACAACCAGCCACATACAAGTCATTAAAAAGATACAATTTTAAATGTGGATGAACATCAACGTTCCATAAATCACATCATTAGAGTCAGCATTTAAAATTATGGGGAATGCAAGAAGTCTGACAATGCCACACATCGTAAAGTCAAGCTGTTGTGTGTGAAACCAAGTTTCACAAGGTGCTTTCGAAGATATCTAGTAGCTTTAAGTGATCAAAAAATCATAAACCCATCCTGAAGAGGATAAATATGGACTTTGCTGGCAGTTCATGTGTTTAAATGCTGCCATGTTGCTGATCCCTGACCACTGCAGATATTCAACACTTCCCTTGTGTGTGGACACTTGGCTCCTCCCACATAACAGGGCATACAGGCTGGTGGAAGGAGCAGATGTTTTCACCCACATAGTGAAACAATTATAACCACTTACCGGTGAGCAGCTGCTTGAGTGTCACCTGAGATCAGTGTACGAGCTCCCGCCTCCGAATGCAGGATGTATATTACATCACTTGCGCATTCAGCTGTCATTCTCCAGCTTCTGTAGCTGCAGAAAAGCTGGTGAAGCAGATCTCTGCTTTATCAGCTTCTTTGGAGGTCCCCATTAAGGGTCTTTGAAACTCCAGGAGTCTCCATAAAGAGGACTTGTGCGTATATTGGCTATTACATAGAGGGGCTACTTAGCCCCCTATGTGATAGCAATAAAGTTGAAAAAAGAACGTATTTTTTTATTTTTAAGTCCCCCACAAACATGCTTCGGGTGCGCATATGTGTGAAAATGACAATTGCGCTTCACATATTACATTATCACTGCAAATGTCAGAGTGAAGGCAATAATTCTAGGCCCATCAATCACTGAGAACACTAAACTGATCAGCAGTAAAAGGATTACCTATGGCCAACTTTGGGTATAGTAGTTTGAGATTTCGTAGGCGCACACAATTTTAAAACTCTGCATGTTTGGCGTCTTATTTACACGATGTGAAAAAGGAAAACTTGCTGCACTCCTTACCGGGACTCCCCCAAAAAAACACGGGTGCTCGAAATGACTGCGGATGGCGCCGCCACACAGACAAAAAAGGAAGACGTCACCAGCAATCCAACAACGATTATAGCAGCAATTAGATGCTCATTTATTGACAGATGCTGTCTCATTGGCAAGCGCTTTCGGGGTCACAGGGTGCCCTTCGTCAGGCTCTGAGCTATCACACTTTATGTCCTCCCTGTTGGGCCACAGAGCAGCGCCAAGCAGGGAAGAAAAATGTTTAGTCGGCTTCTATATCGGTGCATCCCTAGTATTTTCAGTATTGGTGTGCATATGGCTTACTTTACAAGGTTGCTCTTTAAGTTTTAGTTTTATTAAATGTAGGATTTGTACATTAGCCACTAGAGGGAGCTTGTCATGGCTTAAAGCAACCACCATGTACTACAGTTGATACCAGTTACATAGGGAATACCATTTATTTTTAAAGAACGGCCAAGTAAAACTAGAATTGCGAGAAAGACCAGTAAATGTCAGTGAAAATTAGCGGTTGTGTAGGAATGCAAAGCATGTAGGCAAGCCCAATTTAGTTGCCCCCATGCACAGTGCAATACCCAGTGAGACACTACATTGAATTATTTAATGCAGGACAAGAGTACAATCTGTATTCTTTAGAAAACCAAAAGCCAAAGTCTGAACAGAAAAGCATGTTCCCTGCCAGCATGCAGAAAAGGACCCATGCTGTAGAGGACTCTTGCTGTGTGGCAGCAGTAGTCTGCAGAGGTCAAACATCCCCCGCTGAGCCAATGCTAGAACTCACCAATAAGCAGTAAACATGAGCTTCACAAACTGCAGAGCTATAGGTTTAATGCAGCAGGGGGCATGCTGGACCACCACAGAGAGCACAGCTTCCAGGGAGCAAGGGTTCCACACTGCAGCATACTGGCAGAGGACAAACTTGCTACTCCAGCTGTGGTTGCTTTAATCACTTGAAGCCCACATGACATTTAAAAAAGTCAAGGATTTTTAAGTGGTTAAAACAAGTTCACAACTGCAGAAGCATCCATGAGCTTGGTATGGTTCTCTTCAGCCACCTACTAGCTAAGTAAAAGTAAAGTAGAGACATCTGATTACTTTATATGCCTGCATGTGGGTCATTATCACTAAGTCTCACAAAAAAGATTACATTTTTATTTTATCTGTCAGGGGACCAAATGCATATAGCACTTGGTCCTGTTCGGATCGGTGGCCCATTACAGAA